CTATCGGAACCAGCATTAACTTTTTCAGCAATTTGAGCTACAGTAGCTATTCTACTGGATCTGACTACACAGACCAGCCTTTGCTCCCCACGTGCATCAATGAGCCTTGGCCGCCCATGACCTGTCGCGGGTTCACCGGTTTTCCTTCCTTGGACCACTTTTGGTAGGTCCAGACTACTGCACACCAGGCACATCCCACAAGAGCTGCAGTTTTGGAGTTGCTCTGATCCAGTTGTCGGGCCATCACAATTTGGGCCTTGTCAAAATTGTTCAGATCCTTAGGCTTGCCCATTTTTCTGCTTCCAACACATCAACTTCAGGGACACAATGTTCACTTGCTGCCAATGTATCCCACCCACTTCCAGGTGCCATTGTAACAAGATAATCAATGTTATTCAATTCACCTCTCAGTGGTCATGATGTTATGGCTGATCGGTGTACGTACATATACAGTCTAAGGGCTTGTTCACACCGAAAGCGTGAGCGTTCCAGAGCGGTAGCTGCTGGAACGCATCGCGATCGCTGAGAAACTTCCCCCCGCGTTTTGGGGCGGGAGGGGGCGTGGCGGTGCATTGTATTTAATAGAACTGATTCCATGCCTCCCCGCAGTGCGATCGAACGCCTGGCAAGCCCTATTTTTTGCGTTTGCAGTGGAATGGAACGCTGGCAAAGTTTTGCCATGCATCCGATCACAGTGGGGGCGGGGTTTAGTGGGGGGGGGGTGTGTGTGTGTGTGTGTGTGTGTGTGTGTGTGTGTGTGTGTGTGGAAGCGGTGTCATTGAATACAATGCACCGCTACGCCCCCTCCAACCCCAAAGTGCGGGGGGAAGTTTCTCAGCGATCGTGGTGCGTTTCAGCAGCTACCACTCTGGAACGCACACACTTTTGGTGTGAACAAGCCCTTACAGTGAAAGGGTATTAAAAAAATCACCAGGAAACTTGCTATGTGTGTGTGAACTTTGCTGATCATTTCACAGCAGTTAAAACATTTTATTTTTACATTTCAATACTGCACACCCGACCAAAATAAAACACAGAAAAGTAGCACTTTACCCATTTGGTCCTGAATTCTGTAGTTTTGCTTTAAATTTTTACTGTTTAAAGTACTCTGCAAAAATACCAAAAAACCTGATACCTCATGACAAATGTTACATAGCAGGTCATCTATATGCAGTAGATCTACCCACTGATTTTCCCAGCTCTTCCCCATGTTGCCACTATCTTGATTTCTACCACTTTTATGAAGTTTATTAGTAAAACGTCATTATATTTCAGCATTTCTGTGCAAATATGGCAATCGGAGCCTACCTGGCTGCTGTTAGAAATTTTTTTTAGAAAAGTGGAGCAGGTACACCAAAATCCAAACCAGTAATAAGTGGTTAGTAACCTAATTCCACCCCAAAACTTGGACACACCCTAAAGCTGTCCAAAAACCGAGGTCAGGCTGCCCAAACCAACTTATAGTCTATAGGCCAGGCATTCAAAGATTCAGCCATACTGACGAATGGCCACATTTTACTAATCTTAATATTAGTCAACATTTATCAATCATTAGCTAATAAGATCTAATGTAAACACCACTTACTCAGTGTGAAACTTTATCATTAAAACCTACAATAGGCATAACACAAATCGTAATAGAAAAAAAAGAAGAGGTATTTAACATGAATAAATAAATTAAAGAAAATCAGCTTGATGTATTCACTTATACATAATCTATATGCATATATTGTTTCTATGGATAGTTTGTAATTACTTCTGTCCATGGGGACAGCCATATGTGCTTGGTTTATATGCAGGTCCTGGTTTCTGCTAAAAATGGTTGTGCTTTCTTGCTCCTTCTCCCAATGCCAACCCACCGAAAAACAATGCACCCACTATATGGCAGATCTCTTATCCCAACAGTATTTAAACTGAAAGGAAGCATTATGGTGGTGGCTAATCTATCCTTCAAGTGGTTAATCTTTAAATTCCTGCATTTAGAAAAAACAAAAACTATGGAAGAGCATCCATACAAAAATAAAAACATCTGAATAAAAGCGAATTTGTGCTTGCATCTTTCTAGCGTCCTATTCCTGCAAGTGGCATATAACCCTTCCGTAAAATGAAGATTCGGCTGTGTCCTTCAATGAACGTAAGAGAAAGTGAATTTGTGCTTGTTTAAAATACACAATACTTTCCATATAACAAATCTGCTTATTAATATTAAGTGACGCATTATATTATATATAAAATTACTGTACTTTTGATCAACAGATAAAATAGCGTATGGTTCCTTGCTGGAAATCTTAAACCCAATACTGCTAGCAGTAGCTTGACCCACATTCAGGGCATTTAGCTCCTTATCATTAAAATGAAACAATGCAAGGTAAAAATAAAAAATAAACTGCTGGGAACCAGCCACTATGCTGCTGCACTTTTCATAATGAACCTGCAGATGGTGCTATTATCTAAACACTAAAGAAAATGCAGCAAAACAATATTACTTCTACTTGTTCAATTTTACAGATTGGCACCAAGAGAGGAACAGTTTCTGGCCAAAAACATCTTTAAGAATTTAAATTATGTAAGTAAATTAAGCCATTATGACCAATTACGTTTATATTTGTGTTGTTGGCTTTCAAGTGACACCTTCGTTAACCAAGTTTTAAAGGGCACAAACCTAGAAGTGATCTGTCAGAAGCAAATTACATCCCACTCCATTTATACCAAAACAATGTCAGAGGGTTTACCAGCTAGACAAAAACAAAAAACTAAATGAAAGGCAGAAAGCTAAACAATGCTATTGTTAAAGATAAAATGGTTGCGTGGCCTAGAAGGGCTAACGCCAAATTAGGACAGCATTTCTAATTAAAAATGGCTGCCCCTTTGTATAAGAACCAACTATATGGACTGTTGTAGTCTAAATGTATTCTCTAATCATGGTAATACACTTCTGCATGATGTAAACAATGTTTAACACACACAGCATAAGCATACAGCCAATACCATATGCATATATAGCATATATCCAGTTTCCCTCATAGTCAAAATAATTATTTTGCTTGTGTAAAATAGATACATCAAATATTTTTTTTTCCGGCAGCCGCAAATTAAACTTTAATGCCACCATGTATACAGAATGCATTGACACATTCTACACAGTGCGTAAGCAATATGTCCAGCTTTCATTGTGGATCAATGGAGAGTTTGAGCAGCTGGTGTCTATCTCTGGCAGTACAGCATTCTCTGTATCTTAAATGTTTCCACTGCAGCACAAATTTCCATGCCTTCATTTTACACATCAAGAACAGAAATAGAAGTATTAATCCTATTCTGCACTGAAAAATGAATATGTGGAGATGAGAAGGCTGTATATCCCCCCCGTTATAGCGCCGTCTATACTTGGGCTGCCTTGCTCAATATTAATGTGCTAACTTGTAAACAGTGGCGTCATCAGGAATTAAATGAAAACTATGCTGTTCCATGCTTTGGATGTGCTTTCATTTCTAATACAATATTTTTGCTAATCTAGCAGAAATCAGCTGGCTCAGTGTACAGTCTACCCTGAATTAGACACAACTGTTAAAATGTAAATTGCTAAACTATTTTTAGCTGATGGGAAAGAAAGAAAAAAATATTCCTGGCCCAGGGAAAATGATTTGAAGCATTGTGTTCATTTTGTTTATCAAGCAGCTATTCAGCCTCTAGTGGGGCCCAAGTGCTTATGCAAGCAAAAGCTTTTAAGAGAGCCTGCAGCTGCAGTCCTGGCTTCCAGGTAGACTGCAGGTTCAGAGCACAGCTGCCCTGGGCTGTAGAAACCATTTTAGCTCCATCTGGAAGCAAGGTCAGAAACTGATTTCAAACTCAGATTTACTCTAAGCAGGAAAAAAAAATCCAAGAACACAAAATACCAGAACTTTGTAATCAAGCCATACCACCAATCCCTGTGCAGTGCATATACTCATGCAATTTGTGTTACTGACTACAGAGGATGTAACATTCAAATCAAACTGCTCTGGGTTATTACTCATCCAATTGCACCTGCGCCCAAGTGTTAAGTACTGCCAAATAAAAGCCCTCCATCCATTTACACAACAAAGAGATGTACCCCGCAAGGCAGCAGAGCTCTCCCTCCCCTCTCATTTGTTCTGAACTCCAAGAAGGGGGGGTGCAGAGGAGAAAGGGGGGGAGGAAACACAGCACTTCCTTCAGTTCGCAGGGATTTTCACTTCACGTGGATTTTAAATGTGGATTCATTTACAAACAATTTTCCTTCTTTAAAGAATAAAGCATATTTAATACCACAAAACACCCCTATAGCAATAGATTATCACAGCCATTAATGATTTTTTTTCTCTTCACCAAAACCCTCACAACCTTTTTCATCAAAGCCCTTTATTCTCTAAGGATATATTTTCGAGCAAAGAGGGATCAACAAACTAGTTGCTTGAAAGCCTTCCTGATGCTAGGCTGAAGTTAGGAAAGGCTTAATGAAAGCTTTAAAATCCACCAGGGTTTCACACTGAACATCTGACTTGGTGATTTATGCATATTAATAACCTCAGTCCTACTGAGGCAAGCTGAGCCGTACGTGTCCTCCGAATCTTAATGTCTTCAGCTCCATTGGGATTATTACAAATGTAAATTTCGAAGATTCTTGGCTATTAATCTCTGTCTGTCCTCCTGCTCAGCAACATAATGACTAATTAAACATCAAAAGACCTGTACAGGAGATCTTCTTTGACAGCTCCTTGGCCCTGTTCTCCTCCCATGAGAGGAATTCAAATGACAGGGACGAGGGGACCAGAGCATATGACGGTGCTACAAATCACTGCCGCAAAAAGACTAAACATCAAACGTAGGTTTGAACCTAATGAAGCTCTACCATTGATCAAGGTTGCCAGTTTATGGTCAGCATTGAAAACTTGTTTAAATAATGATTTGTATGACCCCTGTACACAGTCCTACAAGTCTCATTTATTTCCAAGAATAATATAAACAATGCAGATAGTACTTACAGAAGAAGGCAAGCCAGGGGGAACCTTTCTTATTTTCTTGGTTTGTACAGGATCTGCATGTAGAAAAGAAATACAAAATATTATATGAGTCAAGCTTGGGCTAATACAGTAAAAAGTTACCAGTCAGTTTCATGTATTTTAGGCTGAGATATATAGCAGATGGTTTCATTTTCTCTTTAGAAACCCTTAAACAATCATCTAAACTATCTTAATGCCTTCATTTTATTGACTTCATATGTGTATAGTATAAAGATGTTAACCTACATGAGGACTAATGCTCAAACAGTGTGTACAGTAGTATTTTGCTTATTGCGACAAAATGCTCAGGTGTAAACAGAGGCCAAAAGAATGAATGAGATTTTTTCTTTTTTTGTGAAGCATTTTGTCGTGCTTATTCTGCTGCAACAATACGCTAAGTATGAACCAGGCCTTACATTACAATTTTCACACTACATTAAATACTGTAAAATACATTACTATATACATTTACTATACATGTGCAGGTAATTAAATCGCAGTTAAAGTGAGTGAATACTTTTATGTCAGTATACGCAACACATTTTATCTAGCATCGCTTGAGAAGGAAATGGGCAAACTACAGTCCAAACGATAGTGGGGTTTTCGTTTCGTTGATTGGCAGTTTTACAGCAATACTCCAACTTCTAGACATCAGTGTTATTTTGGTTATGATACTACTTATCTGTGAGTGACTTTTTGCTCAGCTCCAGAAAGGTGCACATTTTTAAATGAACTCACATACTTGTCTGTCATAAAAGCTGGCATAGGAATAAAGTCGAGAGAGCAAAAGTTCACTGGTCTTCCCTCTGCAGATTCCGCCTCTCTAATAAATAGCCTCCTCGGATGATATTCAGTTCCCAGTGTGATTCAGTGAGATTCCCACAGTTTTCTTGGGCCCCCTTTTTTGAGGTATCAACCTGACGCTAAAAGGCAGTTATTGAGAAAGAAACATTATCCTAATTGCTTAATGTGCAGGGCTTGTGTCAACAGGATTGGCTTTACATTTTCTTTTTTTTGGGAGAAAAGGGCATATTGGACTAGACCATAGAGGAGGAATTCTCCACAGGATTAAACTGAGAGAGTACTGCACATGTATGCTTGCTGCATCAAGAACAGGTGAGTTATAATACTGGTGATGAGTGCTGGGGCACAAGAAAACAGAATTGTAACTGCACATCTGAAATTAATATCAGATAGACAGGTTGTGGATTATCCCTAAACAAAATCAGAAATCTGGAGGATTAGTTTGTGCATCATTAACTCCTTCAGCTAAAAACAAAAACAAAAAAAACTTCAAATAAATATTTCCTGGGCCAACACCACCTCTGGTGTTCACTTCACTTAACATTAAAGCTGATCTTTAAAAAAACAACAAAAACACCTTTAGAAATGTTTAGTAATGACAACCTACAAACAAATACTTCTAGATAACTGCCGGCTTTGTATTCTTTGCATACCTTATTTCTCTTTTCTTCACCAGTCTTCTGACAGTGGCCATGTTTACTAAGGGCAGATTACGAGCTCTCCTAACACTTCCTGGATTTCTGGCACATGTGACTAGGACATGTGACCATGCACATTATCTCAAGGGAGGAAAATGCCTTTCGCTGAGATCTCTTGAGATTACAGATGAGATTTCCCAGCAATGCTCTGCTGATAAGGCAATCCCAGTGTGCATTGCGTTGGCAAACTGAAGTCATTTTGCCCTTTCAAAGCAGGAAGTGAATGCTCTGCAAGTGTTAGTATTTCACAATCACAGCATTTTACAACAGACATGTCTATGTTATTATTAATCATCATACATAGAGGGATGCATTGGTAGAATGCATCAACAATATTTTGAGGTCCCATTCACAATTGGTGCACATTTTTCATGTGCACTTTTACATGAGGAAACATGCATTGCATTGTACGTGCCCATTCTTTTTTTAATGAATGACATATTCCCCTGCCATGCACGCACGCACGCAACACAGTTTTACAACGTGCCTTTTAGCACATCATACAATGTGTTCAAAAGTGCAAGTGTGCGCAAATGCAGCCTAAATCCACCTCACCCATAAACTAAGCGATCTTACGATCAACACATACTTCAAATTATAGGGCAAGGCGACATCTTGCCCTATAATTACTTCAAAGATATGCTGGTAGGTTAATTGGCTCTAGTATGTATGCATGTGAGATAGGGACCTTAGACTGTAAGCTCCTTTAGGGCAGGGACTGATGTAAATGTGCATTGTGTAAAGCGCTGTGTAAATTGTCAGCGCTATATAAATATCAATAATAATAATATTACAGACTGCATGACATTTTATACGGTCTAAAACACCCAAAGCTTACTGTGTAGCATTTACAAGCAGTTCACCTTTAAGCCAAACCTGATTATATAATATTCTTTATACGGACCTTTAATATGAATGACATCACAAGTATTATCTCTAAGCTTTTATTTTTTTTTTCTTGCTCTCAAATCAAGGGCAGCGATTAAATCACTGCTTTTATTTTAACGCACTGAAACATTCTGCTCACCAAAGAGTATACATGCACAGCTATTTCAACATGATTTTACAGAAACCATATAAAAATGACCTTTAACTATTTGGATTAAAAACCATACAAGTCACCACCCTATCTTTTGAACAGTAAAGTAGCATAGCACCCTAGCTAACCATACACAGGCAGTTTGTATAGATCCAAAATGATTTTGCCCTCTGACTTAGGTGACAAAATGGTGGCAAATGGTCATTTTAATTTGGAGAACACAAATCATCGCTCTCTGCTCGAAGTTGAGAGTGCACAGCTTAGAAAATCTCTGCAAGCGATGTGCTATTGTTGATCGGCATGAATACACTGGACCACTTAATCAGATCCTCCCCACATTCTGGGGTGGGAGGAGGCGTGGCGGTGGCACTGATTTCAATGGCACCACCGACACGTCTCCCGCCTACTGTGCTATTGCCCGCACCGGAATGCGTGGTACTGCAATCTCCTGCGTTCCAATTGCAAAAAAAATAAGGCACTGGCAACACAGTCCCCCTCCTGCCCCATAATGCAGGGAGGGTTTAATTAACCAGTCCACTGCATTCATGCCATGGGGCGGTGAGATGAACACACTGGATGGTGTGAACTTCAAAGTGAAGTTATACTTTTGCAGTCAAATCGAAAAAACCCCACTATATGTTTGCTAAGTGTTCCTATTCACACAGCATACTAAAATGTAATTTTAGAAATACACGTAGCCCTCGATTTACGCCAGGGTCAGGTTCCTGAAAGAACAGTTGCAAACAGAAACAGATTTAGATTGTAAGCCCTCAGGGGCAGGGCCCTCCTTACCATCTTGTCTTGTATTGTGATTATAATGTCTTTCTTATATTGTAAAGCGCTGCGCAAACTGTTGGCGCTGTATAAATCCTGTATAATAATTATAATAACAACAATAGTGTAAATTTAAATCCAGTATATAATGCAAGTCAATGGGAAGTAAGAGAATTAGGTTCCAGGCCGCGCTCAAAATTTACATAAGTGACATAATACACTGGGGTGGAATTTATTAACACTGGAGCAGACAGAATCTGGAGCAATTGCCCATGGCAACCAATCAGCTTCTCTCTTCAGTTTGTACAGTTAAGCTTTGAACATGAAAGATAGAAGCCGAACGGCTGCCATGCACTTCTGCTCCAGATTCTGTCTGCTACAGTTTTGATAAATTCCCCTGATTCTATTTAAAGCTATGAAATGAATGCTAAACAGTATTATACACAGTATAAAATAACCACACAACACAGTATGGATCATCAAACTAAGTTTAATGATCAAAAAAAAGAAGAGAGCGTGGAAAAACAGCCACTGAAGAACCTCCATATATCCAAGTGTACCCCTGTGCCACCAGCATGCATTTGTGCCCCTGTATCTCCAAGGGTACACCTATGTCCCCAGCATATCTCCATGTGCCTGCGTACAGTATTCTCCATGTGTATCCCATCTCCATGTGTGCCTCTAGCACAGCTCTAAACACCTCCATATTTCCAAGTGTACCTCTGAGTGCCTCCGAGTCTGTAAGTGTCCAGGTATTTCACTGAGAAAAACACCCTTCCCAAGCTGTCGGAGACACTGTACTGTAGTCACCTAGAGTTCTAGAGAGGTCCCCTGCATATCCTTCCACGGCTGAGGTCTGTGGAGGAAGGATACACTAGATGGCGCAGACTCTGCGGTGGTTTCAATGGCGGTCATGTGACCACCCAAAAAGGGCACTATATAAAACCGGTGCAAACTGAGGGCTACCTGTATATTACTTACTTTTAAGGTATTTATTTGGTGAAGACCTTTGTGCAGATTCCAGGCTACTTTGAGCAGTTTAAGAGTGAAACTAGAGTGACAGACTGAGCTCCCTCTCTGACATAGAATGCTTCAAAAACTTTAACCCTATGTTGGACTGTGATCAAATCTGCCAGCACAGTAGGGTTAATTAGAGTAAACAAAAAACTTTGCACAACCTCCTTATACACATTAAATAGAGGGGAGGCTAGGAAGCATTTTTAAGCAAGAGCAAAGCACGTATGCCATGTGAATGGGGACATGTAACAAACATAAAATAGGTGTTATTCCAATATGGCTTCAAAAGTGAAACCTTTACTGTAAAGTAGCAAATTACAAGCACCATTACAAGTTCACCTACTTGGCTTGCACCAGTTGTCTGAATAGATCATAAAACTGCTTGCCAGAAATAAAAGAAAATATAAATTCTTTATCACGTGTGGTTTATCTCTTGCCAAAGCATTCAGGAAGGCAAGAGATAAACCACATGTGTGACTTTAACCACCCGATTCCAATGTGTTATAAAAGAGGTGGTTGTCAGCTAAAGGTTAGATCACCCAGCAGCATGTTAAAATTATCCAAGCAGTTTAGAAGCAACTGCAGAATAAATATTTCAAACTACAGGAAGGCAAAAAAGCCACTAGTTTAGACTCACCATAGAGTACCATGGAAGTGATACAACTCATGTAAATATACTAATAAAAATTCTCTGGGTAATATCAGCTATCATTGTACTGTCCAAGGAGCACTTTGCAAGTTCAATTTAGGGGACAAAAACATTTTATGAAAAAGAAGAAAAAATCAATTGAAATGAAAAAGAGTATGTTGTAAAACTCTGAATGTTCTGTCTAAATTATATTGCCAATCTTGTATATTACAATCAGCAGTGACATCGAAAACATATGAGAAGGGGAAAAAAATTGCATAATTGATACTGAAATTATACGTTTTTAAAATAAAATATGGGTGAAGAATGAAAAAAAAAAACAACAACTTGATTTCACTGCTTTATAAATAAGCGCCACAGCATTTTTGTTTCTGTAATACCTGCACAGACGTTGCAAATCCCTTCACAGTAACAAAGAGCATTTGGAGCCCATTTACACCTAACAATTCTGGTGACACACACGTATTGCCAGGCACCACAACATACTATAAACACACTACCCTGTGTTGTGGTACACTACATTGGAAAAAGTGCTGTATGTCCAATTTTTGTAGTGCATTGGCAGCCCACTTACTCGTGTGGACGTGTAAATGGGCCCATAAGCAGTCATACTGCTGTGGTATCGCATGCATTACTGCAACATGGGGCAATGCATGCTGGCGTGCTGCGGTGCCACTGATTTTGTATGATGTGACCCAAATACACCTGAATTGCAGCGCAATGCACTACTGAGCGTTGTGATGCACTGTTTTGTTAATAAGGGTGCATGCTTTTTCCTGCATTAATCCAACATATGTTAATGCATGACAACATGGTTGTGTTAACACAACTCACCAGAATGTGAAGGTGTAAAATGGGCCCTAAAAGATGGAGCTGGGGAGGTTGCAGACTTGGACTAAAGTCCACTTTTTGACATGGATGGTATGCCGTCTGCAGCCCACAGAAGCATTGCCAATTTATTTACTTTGTGGTACAGGTTGAAAAGATGAAGTTACGTAATTATTCCTCCAACCTATGCACCGAAAGCAAAACAGAAAAAAAGAAACCTTGAAGTTATAATAAAGCAAACATTTAGATTAGTACGATTATCAAACAGGGCATCCAGGATAAAGAATATAACTGGGGGAAAAAGCCCGTTTTACTTAACACATCTCAACAGTAAAGTGTAAATTTTACCAACCCAGAGCGGGGGTATCCTGCAAGGGCCTCCGGCGTGAGCTTGATGCAGAAAATGGAAAATATGGGCTTCCTGGTTTTCCTGAGTTTGGAAGCTGCCCTGAACTCCCAAGTCCAATATCTGTCCGAATCAGGCTCGTCTGTGAAGCACAAAGAAAAAAAAAAAAAAAACGTTCACAATTGGCAGTGCTCTATCAAAGCGAAAAGTAAAAAGGGCACACAAACCATTTTGACAAAATAAAGCATCCATTTCTTTCTTTTTATTAGAAAGATGTATGTTGCACACCACAAGTTTTGAAGCAACAACTGAAGTTATAAGTATTCTGAGGTTGAGAATTCACCAATTTGTTCTTAAATTTAGTAAAAGTTTTCTTTAATTTGTTAACGTATGACTTTTTTGGTTAAAGTGTATCTAAACCTAAAATGAAAAATTTGATATATTGCAGCTTACCAGTCCTTAGATGTGGCGACTGCATTAGTTTTCTTTATGGGTTTATTACCTGGTAATCCTACAAAAAAACACTTACTGTCCTCTACATGTCTACACTTATTTCTCCATTGTATCTATTTTTTGTCAAAAATGGCTGGACTTAAAACATGCCTGCCTCTGTTCATCTCCAATATGTGGTGGATTGATGAGATCAGTATGTTATAGTTACACGTTAAAAATACGTTTTTTTTTGTTCTTTGACACTCACAGTAAGTGGACAAGGACACTGCAATTCAGGTAGGAGATATATAGCTACATAATATATCTAAATGTATATATTTGACATGCTGAAAATATTCTTAGACTTTCAACAGTGAAACCTAATACATTTACCACATCCAAGGTCTAGTAAGCTGCAATATATTTTTTTCTCGTTTTGGGTAGAGATACATTTTACCAGAGCAGAACAGCTTGGAAAAAAATGCAGTTTAGTCGAAAATAATTGTATGGTTGCTGGTGCAGTTTAAGGCCAAAAAATGTAACATAGGTACCTTATTTGAAAACAGTCTTTATATTCAAATCCCAACAAATATAATGGTTAACCCGTTTTTCTTTAAGGGAAAGGGAAAACACAGTAATTGAGGTTTGTTTTTTTTTAGAGGCCAGAATTACATTGGGAAATCAGGTTCAGTGTTGAAAATCAGGGACATATGCAGAAAAAATAAATACCAGGTAAATACTTTCAAAAGCTGGCTCTTTGAAAACTAGAGACTGTTGCAAAACACAAGGAGGGGAATTTATCAAAACTGGAGCAGACAATATCTGGAGCAGCTGTGCATGGCAACCAATCAGCATCTCTCCTTCATTTTCAAATCTTAACTGAACAAACTGAAGAGAGATGCTGATTGGTTGCCATGGGCAACTGCTCCAGATTTTGTCTGTTCTAGTTTTGATAAATTCACCCCATGTTTGTTTTGCTCAGGCACCACAAGCACTGGACTAGACGCAAGACTAGAATTTTAAAAAGGTCAGCAGGTAAGTCTACATTTAAATATGATAATGTTTTTGATAATTTACAAAAAGATATTCATAGATACTAGGGATGCACTGATACTGATACTAGTATCGGTGCCGATACCAAGTATTTGGGCAAGTACTCGGCCAAGTGCTCAGATACCTTCCCCAATACCTGAACTTCCGGATTTCCTCTGACGGGCACTGCCGTAGGGGTACATGGAGCTGTCTTCCCATTACAGTAATGGCCCGCCTCCCAGCTTCCTGATTGGCCGGGAAGCCGGCTCAATGCTAACTGGCTGGGAAGCCGGCTTCCCGGGCCAATTGCAATTGAGCCGGCCAAACATGGAGCTGGCTTCCTGGGCAATCACGAAGCCGGTTCCATGCCAGCAGAAGCACCGGTATCGGTACTGGCGAGTACTGAAAGAAAAATATTGGTACTCATGCTCGACACCAAAAAAACGGTATGTGTCCATCCCTAATAGATACTATGGGACAAAAAAGAAGTCTTGCTTTTAAGAGCAACCAAAATGCCATGGGTTTAATTGCCATTTCCATCTTTGAATACGTGCAACAGTTGCATGAATGTAATGTTTGTGTCTGTGTGCAACAATGCTGAACTGAAATGCTAAGCAGCGTTGTCAGCACTGCCTCAGCTCTCCTCTGCTGGATATGATAGCACATCGCCTACTCCATAACTTTTCCTTATACACATTTTCGGCACTCCCTCGCTGTTTCTCCCTCTCTCCTGCAATGTCAGTACAGCAGAGGCAGCAGTATCAACGCACTGCAGGAATTTGGGAGCCGACAGTATTTTTGGCAGGTATTTTTCAGTACTTGCAGCATATTTAAAGAGATATAACATGAAAAAATATGCATGTATTAAAGAAAAACTCCGGGCAACATTTTTCTTAACCCTTGCAGTAGGGCTACCCTCGCAATGCAAGGGTTAAGTGCTTGTTTTCCTTTAAACTGTTTAGCCGATTCTGTTTTGTTTTATATTCAGATTTTGCTCACATACATTTTATTTAGCCTGCACTATAAAATGACCACATTTTACTACCATTACCACCTAGTACCATTTTTCCTGGCACTACTTCCCATACACATTTATCTAAACAGAGAATGTTTTGACATATTATACCATCCAAGTAACTGTTCAACCAATTCAACTACATGTGAACTACAATGGGGTCTAAATGTAAACAGTGTTTTAAAATAAACACATAAAAAGCTACTATGATTTTCTTTGTATTAAAATAATCAACAGTTTGCTAAAAAAAGAAGTATGAAAGTAGAATCAATGTTAAGTTACAAAACGCTTATAAAATAATCATTTTTTTTATTTTATTTTATAAATACATGATGAACCTAAGCAACACAAAGCTCTGGAAGAATAATCCTTTATGAAGGATAGATTACGGCTGACAGAATACAGAACACTCAATTCCTAGGGGGGATTCTGTCCTGCGTTAGTAAATTGCCTAAATCACCATGACACCTGTCAATGTACCCACTCCTAAGCCGATGACTTCTAGTAGACAAGACTAGACTGCACAGTTACTAAGAGCTAAAAAGACAGACAAGTAAAAGGGGTTTCACCACAGGATAGCTTACGCAAATCTCACATTATAAACTCACTTTTAAATACAGAACAACAGATTTACTACATACATATATATATATATACACAAAGGGGAAAAAAAACTAAAACTAATTGGTACAATGTTAATATAACAAACAAAATTCCCAAATAGAAGTAACGCATACAAAAGCTAAAATTCATATTACATGAAGGAATCAAACTAAAATAACTGTTTATTATTAACTATACATACAAGTACTCCATACACATCGACAGCTTTATTATCAAGTCAAAGAAGAGTACCACACACTGTACATACCGCTGAAAACAATCTTTATTAGGGTTTCATCACTCAGGTCTTAAAAGGAGAACTATGAGATGAGTGATTTCCACTCACCTCATAGTTCTAGCGGACCTGTGACAATGAGACTGTCACAGGTCGGCTCAGTAGATCGGGAGGTGAGCGAACACATACCAGGTTCGCTCACCTCTCGATCGTGTCACGGCTCTCTGCCGTGACAGGGGGAGGGGCTGGATTCCCCTCTCCGATCTGCCAGCGCTGACTGGCGGAACGGACAGGGGAGGGGGCGTGTACAGCTGGCTCTGCCTCTAGATAGGCAGAGCCAGCTGTCACTCCCGCAGCTGGGCGGATCCCGTCATCTACGCCGGGATCCGCTCCGGCGTCTCAGTATACCGCGAGCTGTAGCTCGCGGTATACTGAGCTTAGGGTAACGGGAGGACGTTACCCTAAGGAGAACGGGAGGACGTTACCCTAAGGAGAACTATGGGGAAAAACACTGACCCCATAGTTCTCCTTTAATCTTAGAAATCATAATAAATCACTCATAAAAATGGCCTTCGGCAGTATCTATGGTGTGCACTACTCTTCTTTGACTTGTGGACTGAAGCTGGCCATACACTGCTCTATTTTTTTCGTTTAACCAGTGGGCTGAACTAAAAAAAAAAAAAAAAAAGAATTAGAGCTGATTGATCGAGGAATCTCTGCTGTTTCCTTAGTATTGTAACAGTGGCCAATACATGATCAGACCCTGCAGCTCACTGGCTACTGGCTCTGTTCATACAAAGATTTTCTGACCGGCTCCTTTAATCAGCTGATCAAGGGATGCCAGCCCAAAGGGTGCCGACAGTGGCACTCACAGTGGGAATCTCAGCCAGTTCCTCAAGAATCGGCAGAAATTCACAAAGCGTATGGCCACCTTAAGTAGGAGTGTAGACTGCTCAGTTACCGGCACCTGGGAGGCTCTTACAAGGTGCAGCCAAACAAGGGAATTACAGTGGTGATATGTGGGTTTGGAACTGTGTAGACAGCTTTGTTATGTTTACTTAGAGTTGTGTCTACAGTTCAGGATCAATATCTGTGTTTATCCCAAAGCTGGGACTTCAGCAACCTGCACTGAAAGTGATGCATTTCACAAAAGCAATAACTGAATTTACCGAGGCCAAATGTACACAGCAAAGTATATCTTCACTCTCCTAGGCAAGACTGTCGTCTGGATTTCAAAAAGTAAACACAAACAACTCCTAAGGTCTCCTAAGTGCTTTACAATATAGGGAACATAGTTACAATACAAATAGAGAGAAAATGGTAAGGAGGGCCCTGCCCATGAGAGCTTCTTTAGACTAAAACTACTCTCTTAGACTTAATGAAGATCAGCAAACACATTTTAGTATTTGGACTTCTTTCCATTAAGTGCATCTCTGGCAAAACTTTTTTTTTCACTCTTTCTATTTGTCCTGGAGACCACTGTTAGCAAAGCAGAATGTATATGGATATTCTAAATTTTACAATCTTCACTAAGGTTTGGTTCACACCTAGGCGTATTGAATATGCGCGTTTGTCACGCGTTTTTACCGTGATTCGCGGTAAAAAATGCACGACAAACGCCCGTTTCCGAGTGCTACTTGGCTGTATCCCAATGGAAACGCGAGACCAAAAAGCCCCAAAGAAGTACATGTACTTCTTTGGGCGTAGGCCGTTTTGTATCGCGTTCGGACGGGCGGAAATACGGCAAGGTGTGAACCAGACCCATTGAACACAATGGGATTTAGATGTTTGAGCGTTTTGTAGAGCGTTGAACGCGCTACAAAACGTTC